GCATTTTTAATTGTCCTCTTTAGATCATCATTTAAATTACTGCATGCTCTTTGTATTGTGGTATACTAGAATAAATAAAATGGGAAAAGTCCAAAAAAGACTTAAAATTGCATAAAAATTAGGGCTGCAGATGGACAGGAACCACAGGGAGCGTCTTGTTTGAAGATGTATGATGTGTTGGTGTGACTGTACTATGTGAGAATATTTTTATTCTCTAATCTTAGGATTCTGTTAATGTTTTGTTAGTATTATTTGGATCATCATAAAAAAAAAAACCAAACCTTTTTCCTCTTTCAAAATTGAATTTCTATTTACTGACCTTTACCATTCACGATAGATTCATGGTCTAGTTGTTTTGGATTAAAGGTTTAAGGCAATCTCATCATCTGAGTAAGAAAAAAATTAACATGTAATTTTTAAAGGATTTTAAAAAGTGTGACTTTACTTACCCTTGCTCATTATGAATGTCGCCTATATAGTATGAAGTAAAGAATTGAGAAAAGAATAATGTGATCAAAACACCATTCATAATCCTGTGTTTTGGCATTTCTCACAGATTTTTAATAAGTGTCATTATGAAGAAAACTGTTCATTAAGGTAACTTTCAAATATAAAAGGAGAGAGTAGAACACTGAACCCCAGGTTCTTACCTCCCAGCGTCAGCAGTCATAGACTCCTAGCTGGCCTCGTGTCACCTCTGCCTCCCCCCATGCCCTCCTTCTCAGTGCTGATTTTAAGCAATTCCCAGACACATTATTTTATCAGTGTTTCAGGGTGATTAAATTAAAAACCATTTTCACATAAAAAGCTTAATAATGTCTTTAAATTACCAAATAGCCTGTTAATGTTTAGATTTCCCTGATTGTCTCATTAAAAAAAAATTGTTTGACATAATAAAATTCAAGTGAGGGGGAGGGGAGGGGGGGGACACGCTCTCACCTAATGGGCATACAATGTAAGGGTATGGGGCACACACACCTCCTGGGTGAAGGGCTCAACTATAACTTGGACTTCACCTAACAAATGCATAATAGAACCTAATCATCTGTACCCACATAGAAATCTGAAAAAAAAATTGTTTTAAACAGTTTGTTCAAATCATGATCCAGATAAAGTACACACATTGTATTGATGTGTTTTTTTTTAAAAACAAAATTTATTTTGATAACTTTAGACATAAAGGAAATGTAGGAAAATAACATAAAGTTCCCATATATTCTTAAGCTTGCGTCTCCTAATGTTAACATTTTGCATAACTCTGGTACACTTAAACCAGAACCAGGAGATCAGCATGCACAATACTAATACTACTTTACAGGCTATATTGGAACTTTGCTAGTTTTCCCATTGGTGACCCTTTTGTTGTCCAGGACCCACATTCATTGAATTGTCTGTCTCCCTAGTCTTGTCTAATCTGGGACAGTTGCTCAGTCTTTGTTCTTCATGACCTTGACTGCTTTTTTTTGAGAGTCTTACTCTGTCACCCTGAATTGAGTGCTGTGGTATCATTATAGCTCATGACAACCTCAAACTCTTGGGCTCGAGTAATCTTCTTGCCTCAACTGCTCAAGTGGCTGGGATTACAGGTTCCTGCCACAATGCCTGGCTAGCTTTTCTTTTTTTAAGTAGAGAAAATCCCTGAACTCAAGCAGTCCTCTTGCTTTGACCTCCCAGAGTGTTAGGATAATAAGCGTGAGCCACCGTGTCAAGCCCAATAACTTGTTTCTCTGTGGACTCTATTTCTAATAAATTGACAATTTAGATAAGGTACCTGATCAAATTCACATTTAATCTTTTGGCAAGATTATATTATAGGTAGTCATACTGTACTTCCAAATATTTGATGGTTCCTGCTTTTGTGATTTTAATATCTATTGATAATTGTTCATAAATGGTGATAATCTGATTTCATTATTCCTTCTTTTAGAGCTGAATACTTCCACAAGGAAAACTTGGTTTTCATCACCTATTTAGTTACCCCGAGGTGCCGTTCATGTAGGAAAGATGAAAAAGAGTTCCCCAGGATCCTCCACAGACTACTGTATTAGCTCCCTGTTGCTGATGTAACAAATTTCCATAAACTTGGTGGCTTAACAGTACAAATGTGTTATCTTGTGGGTCTGGAAGCCCGAAATGGGTCTCACTAGGCTAAATTCCAGTGTTGGCAGGGCTGTATTCCTTCTGAAGACTAACAGAGAATCTGGTGCTTTGACTTTCCAGCTTCTAGAGCAGTGTTTTTCAATCTTTTTTATCTCATGGCACACTTGAACTTATAGTTAAACTTCCACGGCACACTTAAGTTATGTCGATCCAAAAAAAAAGTAAAAAGAAGAGGAACGTACTTACTGTGCCTTGAACGTTTTTGGAAAATAATTTAGTTAATGATCTTTAAAGATTTTTATGGCACATCTCAGATCCTCTCAGGGCACACAGGTTGAAAATCGCTGTTCTACAGGCTGCCTGATTACCAGATGTGTTGCCTCCTCTCCATCTTCAGAGCCTCAGCGGCTGGGGGAGCCTCGTCCTGCTTCCCTCTTCCACTTTTAAGGATATTTGTGATAAAATAATTCAGGTTTTTTTCCTTTTTAAGGCCACCTGATTAGCAGCAGCCTTAATTCCATCTGTAACCCTTATTTCCTTTTTCTTTTTGAGACACAATCTCAACTTTGTCATCCTTGGTAGAGTGCTGGGGTGTCAGAGCTCACAGCAACCTCAAAGTCATGGGCTCAAGCGATTCTCTTGCCTCAGCCTCCTAAGTAGCTGGGACTACAGGTGCCGGCCAAAATGCCTGGCTAGTTTTAGAGATGGGGTCTCACTCTGGCTCAGGCTGGTCTTGAACTTGTGGTCTCAAACTCGTGGTCTTGAACTTGTGGTGTCAGGCAATCCACCTGCCTCCCAGAGTGCTAGGATTATAGCATGAGCCACTGCTCGTGGCCTAACCCTTATTTCCTTTTGCCATTTGGTGATTAGGATGTGAACTTTATTCTGCCTATCCCAGTGACCAAAGGTTTTTTTTAATGAATTCATAGATATTTAATATTTTGATGTATTTTTCATTCATTGCTATTATCCTTCTTTTAATTCTAATTGTTCTATTTTTGGACAGTGAAGAAGCTTAATCTAGTTGATTCCTGGTCATGAAGTCTGTAGTCTTTGATAGCTTCCTTCCTTTCTGATGTGAAAAGATATCTGGGCTCATACTGCATCTTCCTGCCCCAGGACTGCAGTCACCCCTTTCTCTGAGGCAAACTTTAGTGTGTGTCAGAATTACCTGGAGAGCATTGCTGATAAGCCCTGCCTACCTTCAGAGTTTCTGATTTAATGGGTCTTGGGTTGGGCCCCAAGTGTGCACATTTTGGGTATTATTAGGTGATCCTGATTATGCTGTTCTAGGGATATACGTTGAGAAGAACTGCTTTAAAGAACCTTGATCTTTTTGGTAGGAAATGGTATTTAGAAACTACAGTCCAGATGCTGAAGTGGAAACAGATTCTAGTCTTTTTCGGTGGAAGAAAGAAAGTAATAGAAAATAATGAGTTCATATTGATATTTCAAGTTCATATTTATCATTAAAAAAGTTTTGTGTGTGTCTTAACATGCTTAAAGCCTTGCCTCATAGGATGTTAATAATTATTTATTTAATAAATTTATACTAAATATACACATATAATTTAAGAATAACTTACTTAGAACATGATTATGAAAAACAGTTTAAGATTTTTTAGCCCCTTTTGACCTTGGAGAAATATCCCACAAAGGATGTGCAAATGACCTGCTTTAAAGTTATTAAAATAATTCCTCTCTGTGTAGTCAGCTTGTTACAAAGTTAGATTTATTGGTTTGTTTGCTCTGTTTTCAGTTTTAGGGGATTTTTATTTTAAGATAATTATGTAAACATTTCAATAATTCCAAAGTGATATCCATAAAATCAATTCTAGTCTACGTGTCTATGTCTCCTACTTTCTCTTATAGACAGTCATTTAATTTGTATTATGGTTAAATAAATGGCCATATGCTATCTATGCTCATTTCTCTTGGTGTCCCCCCCCCTTAACAAATACTCTGAAGATTATTTTCAGGCAGTATATTTAGAGAGGCTTCTTTGTAGATTAGGAGTGCTCTGTTGTGAGAATGTACTGTAGTTCATTCCTCTATTTGTGGACATTTGGGTTGTTGACATCCTTTTGTTATTTTGAATAGTGCTTCAGTATAACAAACAGTACATATTTAAGGTAGTCACAATCATAGTGTATACTTTTTTATAAAAAAATTTATTTGTAGATTTCATCTTTTTAGTTTGGATCAGGTGTGAGTTGGGGGTAAAAACATTTTGATTACATAAATTGCTTTCGTTACATACGGTTTGTATCAAAGTTATACCTGTGGCCTTCAACCAGATGGTATGCATTTTATTTTTTTCTTAACATTGTGAGCATTTTATATCTTACTTTAAATTCTTTTTTAAATGGTATTATTAATGACAATTTTTTTCTGATTATGAAAGTGATAAAGGATTTGGGCAACTAAGAAAAATAAAACAGTAAAATTCAACTAAAAAATCACCCATAATCCCTCTACCTAAATATACTGTTGTTATTTTGATGTAGACTTAAACAGTTTTATAAACATTTAGAAAATAATCCATATCATATTATACATATACAGTTTAGTATCCTGGTTTGTTTTTACTTATAATTATGCTTTTTAAAAATGCTATACTCTTTATTGTTACTTCTTCGTTGTTGGCTATCTAGTTTCTTTCTGGATTTTCAGTATTGTAAATAATGTCATGATAAATATCTGTGCATAAAGCTCTTTCCAAATTTCAGATTATTCTTAAAGTTGGCCTTTGTAAAACTTTAAATGAAAGGAGTACACATTTGTTAAATACATCTGTTACTCTGCTCTTACAACAGTAATTTAGCAAGTCAAACACATAAGAGATTGTCACCTTAAAATTTTTGTCAAGTAAAGTCCATTTTCTCTTTTCTTTCTGATAGGACCTTAGAAATGAAGTTGAAAAGTTACGCAATGAAGTGAATGAAAGAGAGAAAGCAGTGGAGAATCGTTACAAGAGTCTTTTGAATGAAAGCAATAAAAAACTACACAGTCAGGAGCAAGCCATCAAACGCCTAATGGAAAATGCTAATGAAAAGGACTTGTTGCTTCAGGTACCATAATTTTTTGGGGGGGTGTTTACATATTTTGATTTAGCATGAATTTTTTTTTTAAAAACTCCTTAATAGGAACATTTATGATTGTAGTTGTCAGTGCAACGTTTTAAAGCACTTTAAAGCTTTCTTCATGTTATTTGAGCTTCAGCCACCAGGGAGGTAAGTTTGGAGAAACAGAAGCTCAGAGAAGGGAAGACCTGCTCTTGAGTCCTCTGACTACTAGTCCAGGGCAGGGCCTGGATTTGGGTGCTGACTTGTTCTGTCAGAGGCGCTTCACTGAGGCACTTTCATGGAGTATTCGCTTTGTGTCCATCAGCTCCTCTGTGCTTTTCCTCTAACTGTTACTCTTTGTCCTGGAACATACCCTTCTTGCTGGGTCGTGCAGTGGATTTTTGAGGTTCAACTCAGACTTACAGGTACTATGCTGGATTGAACATGGATGTTTAACTCTATGTATTGCTGAAGTCTCACTAAAATAACAGTGAAGGAAGAGGTATAAACTCAGAGGACTAACTTTGGAGAATAGGAGCAAGTACAGCATCAGGTGCGAGTTGTCAACAAAGTTTTGCTAAGTGGATGGGCAGGTGGAAACTGCATAGGATTCAGCTTTCTCCATTCTGCTACTGCCTTTGTGCCTTCGAGAAGAAAAGCCAACAAGAAGCATGCTGGTTTATGCTGTGGAACCCCAGGAAGGCACACTAGATGTTGGATGTACCTCTCAAAATGCAAGACTCGGCCGCCATTCTTAGCAATTATAGGTGATCCTCTTACCAGTGGGAGATCATTGGAGACCTTAAGCCAGAGCAGCTCTGGCTGGGGGGTCACCAGATGCAGCTGGAGTGGATGGCTTAAAGGAAAATGGTGGGGAGGGGAAGTGCACGTAATCAGCAGTGAGGTTCCTTGTGGGGGAGAAGAAACTCAGAGATGCTAACTTTAGGGCAGGCGTCCTCAAATTACGGCCTGCAGGCCACATGCGGCCCGCCGAGGACATTTATCCAGCCTGCCAGGTGTTTTTGCCGCTGCTGCCTGTCCTGCTTAGCAGCCGACTGTCCCGGGGCCTGCAGTCCAGCCCTCCAACGGTCTGAGGGACAGTGAACTGGCCCCTTGTTTAAAAAGTTTGAGGACCCCAGCTTTAGGGGGTCCTCCAACAAGTGGACCAGAGCATCTCACAGCAAGGCCACCTTTGATGTGTCCTTTCTACACTCACAGAGCAAGCTTTTGAGCATTTTTAACCTTTAAAAGCAAACACATGACTTGAGTTCATCAAATAGGAGAAAGGTGCTTAAGAGGAAGACAAAGGCCAAAGCAGACAGAACAAAGGTACCTTAGTAGAAATAGAAGCAATGCAAATAGGAGAATAACACCAGACAGCTTAGAAAAAACCAAAAACGTTAACACTGCACCACCTTTAGATAGGAAATAAGATCACTCTTCTTGGAAAAGAAGAGTGACCTATTGGAAACAAAGTATGATTGCAAATATAAAAAGTTTAATAGAAGAGTTAGAAAAGATGGAAGATAAAATTGAACAAGTCTTCGAGAAAATAGAATTAAACAAACAAAACTCTAGGAAAATGGGAGGGAAGAGATAAGAAAATTAGAGGCTTGATTCTGGAGGTCCAAGATAGTGACTAATTGGAGTTCTAGAAAGCCAGAATAGACAAAGGGGAGGCAGGGAAAATTTCCCATAATGGAAGGATGGCTATTTCTACATTGAAAGGGCCTGTTCTGTTTCTAGCAGAAAGAATGAAAAAGGACCTGTTCCCCAAGGCATGTTATTATGAAATTTCAGAACATAGGGATAAAGAGAGTATCTGAAAGGCTTCTTCAGAGAGGAAAATCCAGGTCACATACAAAGGAGCCAGATCTGGAATGACATCAGAATTCTCAGCAGCAACCCTGGAAACCACAAGACAGAAGAGCAATTTTCTCAGGTGTTCAGGAAAAGTGATTTCCACCCAGCCAAGCTGAGTCTGTAAGTGTGGGAGCAGACTGCAGGCATTTCAGACACTTGGTGCCTGAAATCATCTTTGTAGGAAATTCTTAGAGGATAAATCCATGTGAATGAAGGAATAAAGAAAAGAGAGACATGGGATCCAGAAAGCACTCACCTGGGATGGGGGAAGGGAAGCCGCAGGGCAACTGTCTAGCTGCTCAGGTGGAGAGCCCAGATTTGAGCTACCGAGGGAGAGTTTCAGTCAGGACTTCTCTAAGAAACTAAAGTGGAAGTGGTCGGTTACCTGACTGACTCCATAAGAGGAGTTTTTAAGTTTTTCTAGAGAGTGTAGGAGATAAATTAACACCAGATATCTACTTTTGTGAACTGAGTAAACAGCTAGAATAAAGTACTTACCAGATAAGCAAAGAACTGAACGTGAAAGGAGATGCATTCATGGAACGCAGTATAGCTGAGCCGTGAGCAGTCTTCCTGCCATGATAATGTAAGTGCAGAATAATGATTTACTAATATTTAGTGATTGACAACTAAAATTATGATACAATTATTAGGAGAAGCATTGAGGGATACAGGAGGTAGGAGCTGATCCTTAAAGTTCTGTGATTGAAGTCAATGGATAAAACCTAAAGTTAAATCAAGGCGTGTGGGAGAAAGAGTGTAATATAGAAATAGGGGGGTAAACAGAAGAAATAACTAGAGTTGAAAGTTGTTTTTCTGGGATGGGACTTAGAGATGCGAAGTGAGGAAGAGGACTGCAGTTTTCCATTTAAGCCGTATAGCGCTATTTGGCTATTAAATTATATACAGTAAGTTGAGCACTCAAGGTACTGTAACAAATGGAACTACACCTATGGTGCATCTTACAAGGGTACATGCGAAATTTACTAAATGTAGAAGACAAATGTCTTAACACAGGAACTAAAAAATGCTGTGAAGGCTATGTTAACCTGTTTGATGAAAATATTTCAAATTGTATATAAAACCAGCACATTGTACCCCACAATTGCATTAATGTACATAGCTATGATTTAATAAAAAAAAAAAAAGAGAGAGAAAATGAACAGAGCTTTAAAAGAGAGAAAAGAAAATGTGCAGAGGTGGCCAGCGTAAGGAACTAGGCCCACACTGAGTACATGTGCTGCGTGTCTGGTCTATGGAAATTAGGTCTATATAGGGAGGTGATTAACTATGGAGGTTCTTCTGCAATTAGGCTTTAAAAAATGAAAATGATAAGTGTCATTTAAGCACAACTGTATTATGGCAATTACTGAAGGGCAGTGTTGGTTATTTGATTCCTAGTTCTTAGTGCAGTGGGTTTTTACAGAGAATTGCTTCTGCTTTCTTATTTGTGTTCGTCTAGTTTCTTATAAATGTTTGGCGTGATAAATTAATTCTGATAGGTACTTAGGAGTAAGAGATGGTTCTTCCTCGTGATTTCTGACTGAGAGTGGGCAGAGTCCTAGTTTAGGAGTTTCCAGATTTACGGGGTTAGAAATAGATTCTGTGTCTGAACTTGGCCAAAAGACCAGAGGTCTGGTCCCCAGTCCTGTCTAGTTCTGCTGCTGAGGTCAGCTCCTCTGAGGGATCAGCGAGGGGAGTTGCTGTGTGTTGTCATTATATGTGTCCACACCCTGTAGCAGTATTTGCAGTTTTGGCTTTTTCTGCCTAGAAGTCAAACCTCTGCGTGGCTGTGGACAGTTCAAACTTTGTCAAATTGGTAACATTAAAAAAAAAATTAAGACTCTGTTGGGTTTTGATATAAAAGCCCTCTCATTACCCCAGTAAGCCTGCAGGATAGAAAATAGACCCAGAGATCACACCTTGAGCAGGAAGGACCAAGATTGGGGACCAGTTCTGTTCTGTTGTATCAGTGCCTGACCTTGGTCCTTCACACCTACGGAAAGGCAGTCATGATGGTGAGCTGAGATTTGTACCAACTGCCACTGACCTTGGCTCTGCCTGGCCAGCATCCTGCTGTTCTCTAGCTTGTACTAGCCCAGAGATGGAGTTGCAGTATGGATTTCTAATTGCCTGGTATTTGGGGATGATGGAAATTATTTAGGGGACATAGGGCTTTGTGAAAAAAGACAATATATTTCCTTACAGAGTTTGGGACAGTGTCTCAATTTTTTTTCCTTGATGAAAACTTTATAATTTATTTCATTTCCTTAGAAATTCAATGAAAATGATTTGGCAGTAATACAGCAGAATTGTTATTTAATGACCGCAGATGACGTCGAGTTCAAGAGCAAAGGTTTAACAGAAAAATGCCCTTCCCAACAGCCACCAGGCAGCACAGTCATCTCTGAGGTGAGCTTGACTCAAATTGGGCATTCACATGCGAATGTATCATATTCTTTTCTGAAACATACTTGATGACTCCTTTGATGTAGAGTTCCTCAAATGCCTTCTTGCTGATAATTGAGCCTATAACAGGGAGGAAGAGGATTTGAGTTCTTGGCCTACCTTACAGATTAGTATTTGTACTGTCCATGAAACTGAGAAATCACAGCTTGTTAAAAGAGAAGCCTCATTTGCTCTATCAGGGATCAGTCTCTCAGAGCTATGTAATCCCAAATGTTTAGTAAGTTTTCATGTTCAGACACACTTGAGAAATGACGTGGCAGGCCCTTCTTCATCTGGTTTCAAATTATTTTACTGATCTCATTTTCTTTCTTCTCCAGCAATAGCTAACTTGTTGCAGATTCTGGAAAACACCACGTTTGTATAATACCTCTCTGTGCCTTAGCATCTGCTGTTCCATCTGCCCGGAATAACTTTTCCTTCCTTGTTTATCTGCTAACTCAGGAAGAGCTCTGCAGGTGCCATTGTAATGTCACCTTCTGTGTGGAGCCTTCCCTCAGTAGCCAGGTCCCTTCTTCCTTCAGTTCACAGATCTTTGCACACCCCTCCATGGTAGCACTTTGTGTGTCAGAGTTACGGGACCCACCTTTCTACCTCCTTTTCTCTGAGCAGCACCGTGGGCAAGCACTTGAGGGGTCAGGAACTGGCACATGCTCTGAATCCCAGTGCTCGGCCCAATTCCTGGCTCTGCGAATGTTTGGTGAGTGAATGAATGAATAATGCAAATAGGCACCCAAGTACAGGACTTGGAAAAGGAAAGGAATTAACTCTAAGCCAAGTTTTTTTCCTTTTTTTTAAAACCTGGCTTTAATTTCATACATTTGGAAGATAGAGCCCTCTTATCCAAATTAGTTCTCTGATGAATGACTCTGATGGTGACTTGTGGTTTTGTGATGGGTAAGTCTCAAAATAATTAACTGGTTTGGTGTGAGTTTCAGCCTAAGAGAAGAGACTCAGGTGGTGGGGAAGAGCCAGGCACCAACCCCACAGTTACTAGATCATGAGGAGGTCTCTAGAGGTCCAGGGGATGGGCCAGGGTAGCTGCGGTGCTTGGAGTGTATGGACCAGGGTTTATTTTCTAACTGATGCGGAAGTGTTTTAGTGTTTCAGCATCAGTACTAGTTTCTGTGCTGGGTCAGCTTGGTGTTAGACTTGGTCTTGAGGCATCATTAGCTAAACAGCTGAAGCTCTTTCTTAATTCTGACCATTTGTGTGTTAACCTCTGCTCTTTCTCCTGAGAGTATCACTATGGACTTGTAGAGCTCCTGGGCTGGGCCAGAAATCTAGAGGCCTGGATTTCTCTTTTGGCTCTGTCTTTTCACCTAGGTGACCTTCCATGGGTCTGATAACTGAATCTCAGAGGGCTAATATTTTGTGATTCTAACTTGCATTCATTTATTTGATTTTGACCAAATTTAGTTGGGCTATTAAGATTTAAAGATCTTGAAAAAATAATACTGCATTTTATATGGAGTCAGAAAAAACCTCG